CATCCATCCATCCATCCATCCATCCATCCATCCATCCATCCATCCATTCATCCATCCATTATATTTACCATATTAAAAACCCTGAATCAGAAACAGCACAAGTGAAATTAAAGTGCTTTTGCTTTGAACAGAAGAAATGTTGAGCAGCATTTACACATGCTAAATGCCTATGACTTGTTGATAAGCATTGTCGGGAGATTCTTTTTCATAAAGGGGAGCATCTCAGCTTTTTCAGTCATGAGTCCATTTTTGTATTTGTCCACAATGTTGGATGCAGCGCTGAATAAGTGCTCACTCTCCACCCTTGTGCAGGGTGCAGGCAGGCAAGCTCTTGCTACTTTAGCAATGTCCGGAAAGTCTTCCTTATTGGTTTTCCAGTATTCCAATGTTGATGGAGTCTCCGGAGAGATGGGTGGCTCTGAGAGGTAGATAATCATCTCTGATGGTGTTGCACTGTTGGCACGAGCCTGCTGCGTGGTTTCTTCTGCCAGGACCTCAACAAACATTGAAGACAAGGATTCTGGTTGTGGTACTTTCTTTGCTGGCTCCCCAGTGCTGTTAGCTTCAGATTCTTGGTTGGGGTCCCTCTGAGCTCCTTCTGTCATCAGACAAAGAAGCAGTCTGTGTGTTTTGGTCTCGAGACCTTCAGAATAAAATCTGTCTTTGCACCTTGAATGGGGGTGGGGTCACAATTTCACATGAAACTCATTGTTTCAGGTCGCTTAAGAATGAAACCATTAACTATGTAAATGCTTATTTTGTTGTCATTATTTGATAATTGTCTCACCTTGGGTCTATGACTGCTGTCAAACTACAGAGGGGCTCCTCTTCAGTGTCTTGATGACAACTTCCAGCAACGTGCCCTTAGTTGTCTTCGCACCATGATCTGCTGCAACATCTTTTGCAAGGAGATGCTTTCAAACCATCTCAGAGGGTACGACATCAGCAGATGCAGTTGATAAGCAGCTTAGTCAGCTCTCCAAAAGGTTTCGGAAAAGGTGTTACGTTTTCAATGAATTCTCGTTGGTAAGATGTATAGGTAGCAGGCAACTCAAAGTCAGCTGCGTAAATACTCAATGCTTGTTTTTGCTCAAGGAGACAGTGGAGCATATAAGAGATGTTATTCCACCTAGTGCTGACATCTTGCTGGAGTTTTTTGGCGGGCTGGTTGAGTTGTTTCTGTACACTATGAAGTCTTGCATATGCTAACGGAGAGTGCCTGAAGTGTCCCTCAGTGCTTCTCCCTTTGGCAATATTGTCACTTGTACTGCGCTGTGACAGCAATGCATCATGGATGGCCAGCTGCAGGGTGTGTGTCATACACCCCAAACTTGGTAACCCAGCATCCGTCATAGCTCTCACCATGTTTCAGCCATAATCTCTCAGCATCACGTGCACCTTGTCTTTCGAAATATGCCATGTTTTAAACATTTTATGCTGCTAAAGCTACGGCATTATGGGAGCCACAAAACTCGTGGACATGTAGAACAGCTTGATGACGGTGAAAATCTGCATCAATCCAGTGAGCTGATAAACTAAGCATCGACACTGCTCTGATGTCTGAGCTAGGGGTTGAACGACTACATCATTTTTAATCTCCGCATTAACATAATAAAACTCGAGTAGAACTTGAGTACTTGATGACATCTTAGGATCTAAAGATACAAAAAATAAATAAAACCGCAAAAAAGGTCATTATTTACAAAAAAAAGACCAACAAAACATTGGGAGCGTATATTATGCTCCTACCATTTATCATACTGCAAATTAGTCACAGGAAAAACTAAACTATTAGTTGTTATTATTATTAAGCTACAAAAGTGAAAGAAACATGCAGCACGTCAAAAACGAAAATAAAAACCGTGGGGGGGGGGGGGGGGGGGGGGACGACCACCCCGCACCACCGCCAGCTGTGGTGCGCATTAGGTTTACTTTTAGAGTTTAATATGTTTATAGATTTTTTTTTATAGGTTTAGAGATTAATATTTTTCGCTTTTAATTTGTGAAACAAGGTCAGAGGAAGCTGGTTCTGGTTCCATCGATTGGACCTGGTGTTACACCATACTCTGTGACCTGCAACAGTGCATGCAACACCGCCCCCTATGGTCACAATATACGGTGGTCACAGAATATGGTGCAACACCGGTTCGCAACGGGCTCCAAACATTCAGGAAGTTGATTCATTTTCTGTTTCCTTACGGTAGTTGAACCAGAAGATTCATCTTTAGTGAAATATTTCCAAACTATTGATGCATTTCTACCGGTTTGTCAAGACTGGGCCTGCTCCGCTCCAGCCGTCTGCTTGGAGGAATCCATTTTGTAACCTACGCCTGGTGCGGATCACGTGACACATGGCACAATGACACAACGGCGGCGTAATGACGTCACTACGAATACTCAACGTGAAATTAAAAAACTCAATAAATGTCCAAGGAATTGATGTGTAGATTACTCAAGTAGTCTGTTAAAGCCCTAGTCTGAGCTCCATATGTCACTTGTGAAACTTAAAGAATGAGGCATCTTCTTTAAGGAGACATTCGATGTGAGAGTACACTGTCTGGTGAAGGTCTGGCAGGGCACGTCTGTGAAAATACTTGCGTCCTGGTAGCATGTAGCGAGGCTCCAAGTGTCGACAGAACCCCGTGTTTTCCACCACTGAGAAAGGCTGGTCATGTAGTCTGATGAATTCCATTATTTTTCAGGTTATTTGCTTAGCCTTCTGACTGTCACGTTCATATGGTCGAGTGTTGTCCAGCGTGTTCTGTATTAACTGCTGCTGACTGTTGCCGCTCCGCGTGTCTTATTTACATTTTCTGCAGTGAGCCTCGAAAACTCACCGTACTCCGCCAAGTCTTTGTTCTTTAAATGTCCTATTAAGTTCAGTGTGTAGTATTTTAACGTGCTACCACAAGGTATTTTCTCGTCGCATGCGTTGCAGGACGCAAACTTTACATCACTCTCAAAAAAGTTCCACACGGCAGACATGTTTGTTTATGACTGGTCGCCGCGCGCCGGCGCAGTGTGAAGGAAAGGGGGAGGCGGACACTGCATTGCACACAGGGCCTCTGCAGGCTGCAAAGTATGAGCTACAGGTGATAGACTTTTGTGATTGGCAATAAAAGGCATTGATCCGCATACGCCGATTACATACTTTTTCATGTAAATCGGCTAATAATGATCAGTGGCCTATCAATCCGAACACCACTAGTTTCAAGGCATTTAAAACGACTGACTTCAAGTTTTCAGTATCTTTAGCGCTGGCTTCCATAAAGAGCGTAACTCTTTCAGAGACTGTGTAAGTCTGTGTTTAGACCTGTCTGTTCATGGTGTGTTGCTTCTGTACGCTGTGTTTGTTGGAGACGTGAGGCTAAATTTTGCCGTTTCGTTTGGTCGTTGTCTTTTGCCTATTTTTCGTGTTTGTGCAGCCGTTGTTTGTGTTTTGCTGAAGCTGATCTCAGTCTTAATTTTTCTTTATACTGTGGTTGTGGTTTAATGGCTGTTAAGATGTCAGCTGCTGTACACATATAATCTTATGTTAGTGTTAATCCCCTTGTGTTTGCAGAGAGAAATTCAGACAGAGAGGCAGAAGCGACAACTGTAGCCGTGACTAAAGGTGCTGAAGTGAAAGGATTTGGAGGTAGAGGCACTGGAACCATTTAAACTGGTTGCTGTCAAGCAAGTGGCTTTACTGTTGAGCTGTTCTTCCTTCATGGAGTAGAAACCTTTTCCTACCAAACATTGATTTTTTCCCCCCTCTTTATTCTGACATCGTCTGTCATTTACATATGCTTTTTGTTTTGCTTATTCACTCATCCAGTCTTTTTGGAAACATCTGAGTTGACCTTTGTCCCAACACGGACACTGCTGCGTTTCCTCGCAGTTAATTTTCCACTTCAATGGAGCGTTCAGCCTTTGACTAAGATTGGGGTTAAGAATTCTTATTCAGCCATCTGGGATTGAAGCCATTTATTTCTTTATGTTCCCTTCTCTTTTATTCTGTAATGTTTAATTGCCAATTTCCTTGATTTGACACGACCAACTCTGCCTCTGTAGACTGACCTCAGGTGGTGCTAAATGACCGTTTTGTGTTTCAGAGATGGAGAGCGACGTCACCGTTGGACGAATAGTAAGCTCAGGTATTTCTGCAGCCCTGCAAGCTGAAACCAAACCTTCTTGCTATCTTTCCAACATAAAATAAAAAAAATCAGTCAGATGTAGGGATGGGCGATATAGATTTAAAGATTCACCACAATTATTTATTTATTATTGATACATGACTATAAAAAAAATTACAGTTCAACTTCATGTGGTCTCTCAAACACAAGTATTGCTTTAAAATCTCTCACTCAATATATATGTTGCTTTACTACACAACTGAAGTACTGAAGCTGTGCTGCTAAATGATGCACAATGATTCCAATCAAACGTTTGGAGCATAAACACAAATTCAGTATTTCTTCATTCTTTTATGGCACTGACAGTAGTTCTAGTTTAAACAGGAAAAGTAACAATCCCAGCTTTGTTTTTGAAGTTAAAAAAAAATTAAAATGAAGTGCAAACACACTCAGACTGTGTAGGAAACTTGACAAATAAATACAAGTTTACCAAAAATGACCGTGCTATTTTACAATATAAACACAAACTGACCCCTTGCATCATCTTTAGTTGGTCACAGGGTATTTTGAGATTATGACTGTATTATAATGGAGCAAAAATGCCACAATTTCACAACATTAAAACAAAAATATAAAAACTTACTTTATCTTTATTTAAATGCAAATACTATTCCTACTGCTGCCTAAATAATACATGCTGCAAATGTGATTGTATTACTATACTTTCCAGTCTAGAGCACACCTGAATATAAGCCGTCCACACTAAATTAAAGAATAATAAAGAATAATAACTGTACATACAATTAGCCGTGCTTGTGTATAAGCCGCCGGTGTTCATGTTGTAACATGAGTGTCAGCACACGGCTACTGAGAGACGTGTGAAGCTATTGATCAAGAATCAACCACAAGACAGCATCTTATTATAGACTATTTTACTGTTCAACACACACAGACAGTGAACCCCACAGGACTTCATGACAAACACCCCCCCCCCCCCAGTTACTCTACTGAATGACCTAACACAAACTAACACATAATGAACACATAAACTAGGCTAACAAGAACAGACTACTCACTAAAAAAACAACATGTAAATGTACTTTACTACTGTTGTTAGTTTGTTTTTTTTCTGCTTGCTTTTGTTTTAAATTTATTTTTTATATAACTGTTTATTATTTTATTATACTATGATCAATAAAGTTAAACTCAAAAAACAAACACAAAAAAGCTAAACAGCTAACCAAAATGAACAAATTTTACCCATAATCCCTCCCTGAGGCCATGTGGTCGACAATCAGCCACAGTGAACCACAGAATGCTACAGTACGTACTGTAACATACACAAATACGTACAGTAAAAATTTTTTCTGAACAGTTCCAGTAACATGGCTGGTTAGAAAAAATAAAAATTACCGTAGCATACCAGGAAGTCATTGATCACTTTATTCCTCCTGCTGCAAGCTTGTGCTTCACGGAGCAAAGTTGCTCTGTGAGCATGTGAGACTCACATGCTCTGCACATGCTGGGGAATCCCCCTCTCTCTTCCCCTCCCCATTTCATTATTTGACTGTGACCTCTTCGGTAATTTCATTGGTCAGATTTTTTCAACCTTTATTGATACTCATTGAGTCACGGGGACCCACCCCACAAGAGAGATGTGCAGCTTTGCGAGCGCCTGTGTGTGACGAAGCTAAATGTTTTTGGCTGCATGAAGCTTGTTAGCTTATCAAAAAAAAAAAAAAAAAAAACCATCTCTAAATAAGTCACCTCATTATGTAAGCCGCGGGGTTCAAAGCTTGTGAAAAAAGTAGCAGCTTATACACCGGAAAGTACAGTAGATAAATAATATAAAATTTATTTTGATGCATACTGTACGTGTACAGAAGAGTGACAGAACACAAAGGAACACGCTACTTTGGTTAATGTGTCAGATGTTCATGATGCAGCTAGACTGAGTTTATCTTTGCCTTGGCTGCTGATATTTTTATTTGTATTGGTATTTTAAATCAAGGTTTTAAATCCTAGTTTAATTACAATACATTACTGAATTTAATTGTCCCCCGTCACTGAATGAAAAGGATAGATTGGAAACATCCTCCGTCCAACCGTCCATGCATGTTGCGTTCATGATTACTTGGAAAATAAGAGAGGTACTGATTTCCATTTTGATGTTTGGCTGCATCTAGGTGTAAGAAAGGTTACTTTTGAAAATTGGGTGCCAGATCAAAACCGAAGATGGCCACCATCACAAACCGACTACCCCTATCAGCATTTCCCCTACCATTATACAAGGAGGGTGCCCCGCCCGGTCAGCATTTCCCCTACCATTATACAAGGAGGGTGCCCCGCCCGGTCAGCAGAGCCGAGCGCCCTGCCTACTGAACCAAACTGTCACCTCTTTTTTTTTTTTCTCCAAAAAAAAAAGTTGAAATAATTTCTAATTTAAAACATAACTTTATTGGTGTAGAAAATTACTTTTATGTTGTTTTCCTCCAGGTAGCACTTCTGTAACAGTTTTATTTCATCATGCTTATTTTAAACAAACAAACAATAAACACAAACAGTAAGTGTGGGGAGAAAGCTTGTTTATTTTATTATTGCAAGATGACATTTTATTTATTTATTAATTTTTACACAAAAGATTAAAATGACAAGATTATTGCCCATCCCAAGTGAAACGCCCAAAGTTTAGTCAGGGAAAGCTGTGTATTTACAATGTGTAAAATAATCTGAGTTTGTAGTCGTGAAACAGTTCATGAGAATCTCAGCTCTGGTGTTACGCTGCCCTCTGCTGTCCAGCTGTGGTAACACATCTGTGGAACAGCTGGACTTGGGGGGAAGAATCCGATAACATTTTTCTTGATGTGCAATCTTCAGCTTCAGCATTTTCCAAGTTACCTTGTCTTGCTTCATGGCTGCTTTTTGCTTCGTAGTGTAAAACCTAATGCACAGATTTACTCCTCTAGACTCTTGCGAGCCACCACCCTCTAAGCCAGTACTTAGATCCTGTCCTCCATCGTCACACATTCCCATTGTCCTTCTCTTCATCTCTTTCCTCCAGCTTGCCTTTGCAGACAGGATCCATGTATTCAGGAGTCATTCTGCACTAATTCAAATCATTTTAAACATGCTTTTGTCACGCTGGTATAATCACATTGTTTTACTGGTATGAGCAATACTGGAAGCAATTTTGTGAAAAGCAGTAAAAACTGAAATCTCAGTTTGACACACTTTTCAGTTAACCTCAACTGTATGTCCTTTTGGGTTTTTTTGTGTTCCTCTGACTTTTACCTCAATGCTTCACCCAACACCTACTGGATGTCCATAGGTGATCTCTAACTTATTTTCTTAAATTTATTTGTTTTATTTTTTATCTCAACAGATCGTTTTGGCTGTCTTCTCCCTAACCTTGCTTGTTTTTCACAAGTCCTCGACCTAATGCTTTTCCTTTTACATTTGCCGCATTGCTTTCTTTGTGAAAGCCACACTTTTTGTTTTACCAGTACAGCTCCTGAGCTGATGCTTGATGATACTGTAGACTGGATTACTTCATAAAAGTCCCCAGAAAACATGCCAGACTGTTCATGAGTGTGGGTTGGAGACTCACTAGTCTATTTTTGTTTGCTTTTTTATTTGCAGTGTATGATAAGCAGGGCTTTCTGCTACAGCTGGAAACAAAACTGTGAGTACATCTTTTACTAATAAAAAAACATTTTGATTGTACATGTTTAATAATTCTACTTTGTATACTGCATGGGGCACCCTGTTTATGATCTGACTCCAGTAGCCATAGTAAAAATTAAGAATATATTTTTTCAGTTCTAACTTTCATAAATAATTTAATAGTTTGATTGTCACCAAGTATTACGATTGGGTAAAGATAACCTTAGGTAAAAACCAAGTAACTGAGCTTTGAACAGAATGAAGAAGGGGAAGGCAGTAGGACCTGATGACATACCAGTGGAGGTTTGGAAATGTCTTGGACAGATGGCAGTGAGGTTTTTGGCTCACATATTCAATGGCATATTTGAAGGTGACAAAAAGTCTGAGAAATGGAGGAGAAGAGTGCTGGTGCCCATTTTTAAGAACAAGTGTTATGTACAGAGTTGTAGCAACTACAGGGGAATTAAGTTGATGAGCCACACATTGAAGATTTGGGAGAGAGTTGTGGAAGCACAAGACGAGACGAGAGATGACTGTGAGCAGTAGTACGGTTTTATACAGAGAAAAAGCAAGAGAGTCGAGGGAGGAGGTGTGGTGTTGCATGAGGAAATATGGAGTGGCAGAAAAGTATGTTAGACTGGTACAGGACATGTATGAGGACAGCAGGACATGTATGAGGACAGCAGGACATGTATGAGGACAGCAGGACAGTGGTGAGATGTGCTGTAGGAGTGACAGATAGCTTCAAGGTGGAGGTGGGAGTGCATCAAGGATCAGCTCTTAGTTCCTTCTTGTTTGCTTTGGTGGTGGACCAACTAACAGATGAGGTCAGGCAGGAATATCCTCATGCATGCTCAATAATCAGGCGGGAATGCCCGTGGACTATGATGTTTGCAGATGACATTGTGATTTGTGGTGAGAACAGGGAACAGGTGGAAGAGAACTTAGAGAGGTGGAGATATGCACTTGAAAGAAGAGGAATGAAAGTCAGCCGTAGTAAGACAGAGTACATGTGTGAATGAGAGGGAGGAGGTGGAACAGTGAGGCTACAAGGAGCAGAGGTCAAAGGTGCAGGACTTCAAGGACTTGGGGTCCACTGTCCAGGAAAATGGGGAATGTGGTAAAGAGGTGAAGAAGAGAGTCCAGGCAGGATGGAGTGGATGGAGAAACGTTTCAGGAGTGATTTGTAGCAAAAGAGTGTCAGCATAGGTCAAAGGAAAAGTTTACAAGACAGAGGTGAAACCAGTTATGTTGTATGGTCTGGAGACAGAGACATGGACAAAAAGACAGGAGACAGAACTGGAAGTGGCAGAAATGAAGATGATGAGGTTCTTCTTAGGAGTGACAAGGATGGATAAGATTAGGAATGAGATCATCAGAGGTACAGCACAGGTTGAACAACTGGGAGATAAAGTTAGAGAAACCAGACTGAGATGGTTTTAACGTGTCCAGAGGAGGGACAGTGGTTTGGACATGTCCGGGGGGGGGGGGGACAGTGAGTATATTGGTAGAAGGATGTTAGAAATGCAGCTGCCAGGAAAAAGACGAAGAGGAGATCTATGGATGCAGTTAGAGAGGACATGGAGGAAGTTGGAGTGAGGACAGAGTGAGATGGAGGAGGATGACTCGCTGTGGAGACCCTGAAGAGAGAAAAAACAGACAGAAAGACAGATAGAAGGATGGACAGATAGACGGATGAATGAACGGAAGGAAAGACAGACAGAAAGAATTAAACACCAGAATATCTATACCAAACTGAAAAAATAAAAATCAAATCCATGTTTTACATTGATCCAGTCAAAGGAAGATCCAGACTTCAGCCTGACTGGTGGGGACGACTTTATGAAAGTTGTGCAGAAACAAATGCCTGCAAATCTCTAACAAAAATATTGTAAAGATGAATTAGCCAACGTTATTCCTCAACTAAATAGTGGACTGAGGATGTACAAAAAATATCATTATTTTAAATCATTGCTGCTAAAGGTTGTTCTATGAGCTTTTAAACATTTTGTACATGTACTCAATGTTTTGCTAGTGTTTGTTATTATTCTATTTTCTATAATGTTTTGACTTAATTTCTCCAGATGGTTAAATATTTTTCAAAAACTTTATCCAAATACAAATAACTTATAACTGAATGTGTGTTTCATTCTGCCCTTACTGTATGTTATCCATAGATGTTACTGAAATGCTAGCTCATGCAGGTTATTAATGTGTGGAAAAAAGAAAAGCGTTTGAAAAATTACCAAAAATAAACTCTTTTTAAAACAATTAATAAATGCAATGAAACTGTAGGTGGTCTGAGTAATGAAGTAGATAATTTGAGTAATTTGTGTGAACTGAAGTGTTTGTCAGATAAATTCTTTCAACCTTTATTTATACAGCTTCATCACATTGAGCCTCAGAGACTCATTTACAAGTGAGACCTGTTTTAGACAAACAGACAAAACTAAGGAAAAGAGAAAACACGAGTGGAGGGACATGTCTGCCATGAAGACGTGGTTCTGTAGATCATTATGCAGTGGCCATCTTGTCCATATGTCCGTTCATATTTGTGTAATTTCTTGAATTAGTTTGACACTTTTAACTCTAAGCTGTCATTGGATGGCCCCTTTTCAGCTCCTGCCTCCTTATGCAGGTCTATGATCACTTGTTGCTGTTACCACACTGACCCTCACTGTGTCCGTCCGCACCTTGCATATACAACCTGAGCACTATGTAAGCAAACACTTTTAGATGGGTTTCACACAAGTTCATCTCATGTTATACTGTTTTATATCTACAGTGTCATCAATTATACCAATGGAGCAGAACCAACAAAAGCTAAATCTCCAGTTCTGAAAACCTTAGGGTGCTGTGTAAAATGTACAGAAAAACAGAACACAACAAGCGATGTCACTGAGGGATCTGAATAGTGAATGTTTGTAGCTTTTAAGTTGAATGTTTTTCAGAACAGAAATTGATCAGAGAACGTAAGTAAGCCTTAATATGTTTTTGGTGCAAGATATTCAAGTGGGTAAAAGGTACATATGCCCCTTTTCCACAGTGACGGCTCGGGTCAGTTCAGCTCGGTACACGTGTTTCCATAGCCCCTTTCAGTACCGGTTCCAGTAGGTGGGGTTCAAACTGACTTCACACACCTGACCAGCTGGTGGCAGTGAGACGTTGAAACAAGTTTCAGTACAGTTTTGTTTCTTGTTCAGAGATTATATATATATATATATATATATATATATATATATATATATATATATAAGCTTTGCTTTAAAGTTTTTATTTGTGATTTGTACATCTGTGGGTTAGAGTAAAGTTGAACTAAAAGACTGTATCTCTTCTTTAAACATATTTAAGGGAAATATTCCTGAGAGATTAAAAAAAAAACATATTTTTTTATACATAAAATGTTTTTAAAAATTGTTTCCATCTTCTGCCCGTCTGCTGGGATCGGGGTTCGGCCTTCATGATCACGCGAGTCCGGGGTCCAGACCCCGGCCTTCTTCGAGTCAGCAGCTCGTATGATCCTCCGTGGTGACCAGCGGAGCTCGGAGCCTGCAGAGCACGCAAGGCCGGGATCCGGAGCCCGGGCCCCGAGTCGGCACCACGGAGGATCTTCCGACGTGACCAGCAAAGCTTGGACCCGGGGAAATGACGTCCTGCACAGCCTGAGCGTGCTCTGACTCTCCGGGAAGATCAGCGGAGCTCCATCTAGCTCTGTCTGAATTTTGTCGTCAGCCACCAAGAACAAAAAACGCCTGCACTTCATCATTAGACCACGGTGTTGTCATTATTGTTTTTAAACTCTTTAAAATAGATCCAGCCGCTGCTCCGAGTTCCGAGTAATTGCAAATGGCGGATCAGTGTTTTGATGTTTCTGAAAGATCCAGTGACTCCTCCCCATGACCAGTCAGTGACCGACGGTGCTCTGACGTCATGTTTTTGTGCCGGCTTGACTCACTTGGTCCCCTTGAGGAGAAGGGACAAAAAAAAAGGTTGATTCCGCCCAAAGGTTATAGTGGAAAAGTGCTCTAAACCGTACTGAACCGAGCTGAACTGATCCGAGCCATCACTGTGGAAAGGGGGCTATAGCGTTTAAGAACAGAGGTCGTTTTTACTTTTCCTTGTCCAAAGTATTGCAGAGTGACAGATTCTGTCGAGTGGAGGAAGCAGTTTTATCCAATTCAGTTCAATTCAATTCATTTTATTTATATAGCGCCAAGTCACAACAGAAGTCGTCTCAGGGCACTGAACAGAAACATATCCACCACTAATAGTGGAGCCAGGGGGTGACCAGTGGTAGCCTAGGGGGCCCCAAGGGCCACTCCAATCATTTGAGGAAACCATACTTTTATGCAATATAAAACTAGAAAGCATAGTTTCCTCAATGGTCAGTTTACATACATGTACTACATACTACATACATGTGGCTAATCTTGGATTCTTACGTAGCAACCCAGTTTTTGATACTGACCTTTCTTATGTCTAGATGCAACCACGCATCAAAATGGAAGTTGTCACGTTTTTTTTTTTTAATTCACAATGGAGCTAAACCAAGACTTTCTACAAAAATAAATAAATAAAATAAAAAAAGGATAATTTTGAGTTTTTAATGGCAGCCACAAATCTTTAAAATGTTGGAACATGGGTAACAAAAGATACATTTGTAACATGTTACTGAGAGGACCGTGGATAAAAAAACAGAGAGGCTGAATCCCTAAGAAGTAAAGGTGGGCAGAGGTTGACCAGTTTGCAATAAACTGCATCTGAAAATAGTGGAACAGTTTCAGATTCGTGTTCCTCAACAGTAAATTGGGAAGACTGACTATCACATCATTCACATTTCTTCAAAATAATTCAGGAATATGGAGAACACTGTTCCAAAGGACAAATTGTTTTTGGACAGATCTTTCCCAGCATACTAGAGAAGAGTGACCATCCTGCCTGTTAAAGTTAAAAATACTGCCTCTCCTTTGGTATGCAGGTGCATTAGCGCCTATGCAACAGCAACTTACACGTGTTGAAAAACACCATTGATAAACAATATATGCTCCCATTCAAGACAGATTTTTCAGGGAAGAGCTTGCATATTTCATCAGTGCAAAGGTAAACCACATACTGCATCCATTAAACATGGCTTCATCGTAGACGAGTCCAAGTGCTGAAGTGACCTACCTGCAGTCCAGACCCCTCACCCATTGACAACATTTGATACATCATGAAACAAAAAAAATCCAGCAAAGACCCAGGACTGTTGAGCAGCAAGAAACCTACATTAAACTACAGGACACAGTTCCTCTCTAAAATCACCAACAACTGGTCTGCTCTGTTCGTAGACATTTATAGGCCGTTATTAAAAGATGAGGGGTGCTTCACTGTGTTGCTCCCATCTAATTACATTTTTTCCTCCTAACAAAAGGTACATTTTTAAAAACATTTTATATGTTTACTGTGCTCCATTATGAATAAAATATGGGTTTATGAGATTAGCAAATCATTGCATTGTGTTTTTAATTACATTTTACACAGTGCCCCAACTTTTTTGGAATTGCGGTTGTACAATTTATCCTAAAACTAATAATTAGTTTGGTAATTTATTTTATGCTAGTAGACAGACTAATGGAAAAAGTTCCTCCAAGGTTTCATTCCCACATAATTACAGTACTTCCCAGCTGCAGGCTAATGAAGGCCAAGCTGCTAATGCATTTAGTGTATGAGCGTAGAAGTGCTTCAAAGTCTGAGCAGACATGCTCCACTTGAGCCGTTTCTTCAGCCAGCTTTGAGTTTGGACCTCACATCGTGCACAGACCCCGACTCCTTTCCCCACTCCCTGTTTATTTGAACTAGAATCCCTGCGTACATCAGATTATTAATGATCATGGTAGTTATTGAGAGGTCCTAGACTTAGCACTGCTGGTGGGATTATTTAAACAAGGTCTCACTGTTTTGTCTGGCCACACACAGATGACACCAAAGTTGTTGCTGACTTCAACTTCCTAAGCAATCAGCAGCCCTATCTCTCGAAGAGATTGTTTGTTTGACACGCTCAGTTTTTGATGTGTTTGAACTTGTCTGTATAATTGATAATCACTTTGTCTCCTCTTGTTCTTTTAATTTACAGGCCGCCAGAGTTGGAATACAAGTACGGCAACCTTAGCAAAGGGGCATGTAAGCCAGGATATGCAGCAGCCAAGATGGCTACCATCTATCCCAAGTGAGGAATGTTCAGCTGTACTGTTTGCTTATAATCTTGTGTAATTCTGGCAGTAGGCCTAGCACAAGCTGCCTCTTTCTAAGATTCCATTACGATTGTCACAAATACAATCAAAAACTGGATGTTGATGAGAGAGAAGCTTCAGCATACCATCATGCATGATGTCACTCTTCAAGTCAAATAGGTCCTAAGGGTTTTCAGTCAGAAATCAAGAAGCCCCCACATTCCTGTCCAATCTGATTCCAGTTTCAATCGCGTTTTTTATCGTCTTCTTTCCCAGCACAAAAACTCAACTGTGTCCTTGTTATCACCCTGGTGCACAATAGAACCTTTGTCACCCAAACACAAGATCCACCATCTTTTTCTGTCATATCACAAAGCCTTTGGTGACTTTCTCTGTGGGCCACACTAACTTCCTGCTCTGACACATCATGAGCTTTCTGGTACCCAGCCCACACTGTCCACGCAATTCTCTATGGATCACTTGATTCACAAGCTCTTTTGATGTGTTTTTTCCATCCCTCTGGGCCTTTACTGCACATGTCAACTTAATCTATAGGACATTGTCCTGTTGGCATCCCTGAATTTAAGCAAGAGCAATTTTCAACATTGATGAACAAGAGCTTTGGCACTTTAAGGAGTAAGCAGAAAGAAGCAGAAAAAGTTTAAATGATTAAAAAGCAGCACAAAAGTTGGAAATTAGAGGGAAAAAGGCTAAAATTAGCAGAAATTTTTCGAAAAGTTACTGAAAAAGCAGAATAAAAGTTGAATTTAGCAGAAATTGAATGGAGCTTAAGATGAAAATAGCGGAAAGAAGCTGAAAGAAACTGAAAAATAGCTGAAAAAAGCTAAAGCGTGCAGAAAAAAGCTGAACTTAGTACAAAGAAGTTGAAAAAAGCTGAACTAGAACAAGCCTAAATGAGCTGTAAAAGGATTCAAGGAACAAAAGGTTTAAATGATATGAACTCTATTCATTCTCAATGGGAAAACATGGCAGACAAAGGATTTCAAAAAGTAACCATTGCACAAGTACCAAACGTCGTAGCATGTATGTCCTGGACGAGCTGAACGTTTTGATATATAAAATGTTGAAATTACACAAACATTGCGTAATAAGTTACATGCCGAAAAACATATGGGAGAAAAATGGATCTCAATAGTGTGAATGCTTCATTTACGCAATAAAAAACACTAAGTTTTACACAGCTAACCCCGTCCTTCTTCTACCAACTATTTGCTCAGGATAGTGGTGAACGCCACGCTGTTGTACTGTGTTGAAACTGTTGTACTGTGTTGAAACTGTTGTACTGTGGTATCAGAACACTGTTGTACATGCACACTTTATCAAGCCAATACCTTGTGTATTACCAATACCTTAATTGTATCAGTACTGGTACCTTACTTTTTTAGTGCTAAGATTTTACACATCAGCACATATTAAAATCTTCTGTTCTCACCAGGTTTCATAAAGCTGTTTATTTCCAAACACGAACCTGCTTTAATAATTGTATTTCCAGCCCACTGATTATCACCACCCTCAGTCCAGTCACACTCAGGTCAGTGAACACAGGTAATGCTGGACGTTTTGCAGTCTATGGATTTGTTTTTTAGAATGTGCAAAGTTGAACAGTATATTACATAATGATTTATTTGTTATGTTGTTTATTTGTCATATGCAGGTTAACACAAGGTCAACAGTGCAATGAAATGTTCAGGATGAGAATATCCTGATGCATGCTCAATAATCCAGGTAGAAAAATCCAAAAAAGTTCAGTCTGGTCCTCTGGACATTCAAAAAAAAACAAAAAACAAAACAACACAAGAAATACTGAAGCATGCAATAAGAGTACAAAATAAAGTACCAAAAAGTGTAGAAAAAATAGATATACAAAGTTAAAGGAAATATAGCAAACAACAACATGGTAGAATATAATAGTGCAAGTAGGATTAATTTGTATAAACAAGTATTTCAATAGTAATAGTAATATTAGCTTAAATGCACATGATATGTATTGCACAATAACTAACATATTCTGCACAGGTACTGAGTAAAACTGAGATGGATTATGATGGTAAGGTAGTGAGATACATACATGATATATGACATATATGGCATTAGATATGACAAACATAACATATACATAATGCAGCCACATAGTGCAGCAGCAATAAACATTAGGTGTCACAGATGTGGCTTGGTGCAATGTTATTGCCAATTGTTCAGTGTTATTGTGTGAATGTTTATGAAACATTCACTCTATTCATCCATTTTTCTTCCGTACGTTTTTCGGCATCTTGTTCCAAAATTTTGAAGCTATTTCAAGAAATGAATGACCGACTGAACATTGTTGGATTTCAACAAATCATATATCAAAATGTTCAGCTCGTTCAGCAGAAGGGTGCCATGACTTTTGGCATTGCTGCAACTTTAGCTTTTTGAAATATTTAGCCTTTTCTGCCATTTTTTTCTCATAGAAAATGAATTGATCTCATTTTACACCCTTCACATCTTTAGATGACTTTATCTTTAGATTAGACCTTTTACTGCTCCTTTCACATTTTGTTCCGGTTCAGCTTCTTTCAGCTTCCTTCTGCAAATTTAAACGATTTTTCAGCGACTTTAAACTAATTTCTGCTGTTTTATGCTCCTTTAAGATTATTTCTGCTAATTACAACATTTTTGTGCTTCTTCTAACTTCTTTCTGCTCATTTCAGCTCATTATGCTCCTTTCAGCTTATTTATGCAATTTTAAACTTTTTCTGTTATTTCAGCTACTATTTAGCTGTTTTATGCTAATTTCAGCATTTTCAGCTAATCCCACAATTTCTGTGTTTCAAAGTCAGCAAAAATGTGTTTTCTCCATTCCTTCTGTTAATTTAAGCTTCTTTATGCATCTTTATCTACTTTTCAGCAGTTTCCCCCCCCCCCCAATTTCAGCTTTATTCAGATAATTTCCACTTTCTTGTGCTCATTTCTGCTTCTTTCAGCCTAATTGGACAAACATTCCTTCTGCTAATTTCAGCTTGTTCTCCCTTTTCAGATAATTTGTAGCTTTTTTTTTTTAGCTAATTTCAGCTGTTTTCAGATAAATTCAAGTTTTCATGGTAATTTCTGCTACTTTCAGCCTACATAACTTCTTTTTGCTCATTTCAAATTGTTATGCTCCTTTCAGCTTATTTCTGCTAGTTTCAGCTTTTTCTGCTATTTCAGCTACTATTTAGCTGTTTTGTGCTAAATTTAGCCTTTTCAGCCAATTTCACATTTTTGTGTCTTATTTCAGTTCCTTCCACTTCCTTATGGTAATTTAAGCTTCTTTCTGCCTTTTCAGCTACTTTTCAGCTATTTTTGGTTAATTTAAGCTTTTTGAGCCAATTCTGTAATTTCTGTGCTCATTTCTGCTTATTTAAATCTAATTCAGCAAATGTGTTCTTTTTGCGTTCTTCTGCTAACACAAGCTTGTTCTTCCATTTCAACTACATTTCAGCATGTTTTTAGCTAATTTCATTGTTTTTCAGCAAGTTCTTCAGCAATAAGCATTCACAATGCATTTTCACAAGAAATGCAATTTCTCAAGTTATTATTATGGATTTAGTTAAAACTATTGTTATCTTTTCATTCATTCAACCTTTATTTAAACAGGTTAATCCCATTGAGCATCGAGGACTCATTTACCAGAGAGACCTGATTTCAACAAAGAATGATGACAACAATAGACAATTATAAAAAGGCCTACAGATTTTTTTATTTGTTTATTTAAAAAAAAAAAATAAATAAGATGTCAAAGAAAGTAGCAAAAACAGCTAGATTATAAGACGAATGTAGAAAACTAAAAACAGGAACATGTCTGCGTTGGTTCTTGCCAGGAGTCCAACAAATTCTTAAAGACACTTAGAGAGGTCAAGGTCGAGAGCTTCTGTTGTTTTTGTAAGATATTCCAGGAAACATGAGCGGAGTAGGAGAAGGCCCTTTTGCCGAGTTCAGTCCTCACTGAGGGAACACTGCAGGTAATAATGTCCTGAGAGCGCACGCTGTAGCTGCACTCACGCAGAGACATGTCGGAGGAGATGTATGAAGGCAGCAGACCAAGAAGTGATTTAAAGATGAAAATGTATCAGTGGGAGAGTCTGCGTGAAGTTAATGATGTCCAGTTAACCAGTGAATAATTGAATTAATCTAATTTGTTAGTATTGTTTTTGTATTTAGCTTTTACTTTATTTGCTCCCAAAAACAGGTCTCTCTTGAAAATGAGCTCTCTTGACTCAATGAGACTACCTGTATAAATAAAGGGTAAATGAAAATGGGAAGAAAAAAAAAAAAACTGGCTCAACCAATTAATTTAAATCTTTTTAGTAATGCACAAAGTTTGTTTTCTCAGTCATCCAGGTATATAACAACAAAAAAGGTTGAATCAACCTTTTTTGTTGTTATATACCTGGATGACTGAGAAAACAAACTTTGTGTTTTTGAAACCATTAGTGAAAAGGCCAGACTTCAGGGGTATCTGAGGCAGGCTTGAAACACAAGAGTCAGGGTGGCTTCTGGGTAATACCAGATGGCTAGGCCTCAGACTGACGAAGCCTCTTGGATG